GGGCTCCACAGGGGGGGGGGGGCGAGGCTCGCCATCTGCATGGCCTCCCTCTCGTCTCTGCCCCCCCCCCCACGGCCCGCTCCGGCATGGAATGGACACCATCCTTCACATGGACGAGCTTCATGGCTCCGCCCCAGGCCCGCTCCTGTGCCAGCAGCGCGGCCGCGACCCGGCCCTCGCCTGCCTCCCCCCTCTCCCTGGCCACGGACCTCCCGGCCCCAGACCACAGCATCTCCAGCGAGCTCACCCCCCGCCAGGTGGTGGAGCTTCTGGACCGCTACATCGTGGGCCAGGCCGCCGCCAAGAAGGCCGTGGCCAACGCGCTGCGCAGCCGCTGGCGCCGGCACAAGGTGGCCAGTCCCATGCGCGAGGAGATTGTGCCCAAGAATATCCTCATGATCGGCCCCACGGGCTGCGGCAAGACGGAGATCGCTCGGCGCCTGGCCAAGCTGGCGGACGCGCCCTTTGTGAAGGTGGGAGCGTGGTGGGAGAGGGTTGGGGACCTGCGCTGCCTGGGGGGTTGGGCTCGCCGCTGCACGAGGCTTGCGTTTAACGGACGAGCTGCATTTCTCGCTGCGCCGCCCAGTCTGGGCCTTGGTGTTTTTAGGTAGCTGCAGGCCCCCTGGCCTGTTCGTGCTTGAGAGGGAGTGCCCGCGACAGCTTGTGTTGTGCTGACCCATCCCCTTGCCGCCCATGTTCTTGCTCTGGCATCCTGGAGATTCGGCGTACTCACTTTGGCCCCCACTGCCACCTGTCTCACCCAATCAGGTGGAGGCCACCAAGTTTACAGAGGTCGGGTTCCACGGACGGGATGTGGACTCCATCATCCGCGACCTGGTTGACAACGCCATCGTCATGATCAAGCAGGTTGGCTGAGAGGGGGGCCTTGGCGGGGAAGGGTTGGCCACTTGGCCCTGCATCCATCTGGGGGGCGGTAGGGAAGGCGTGCGCAGGCGTCACAGCGCATGCACTTGCACCCCCTCCTCGCCCCTGTGTCGAACCCTGGACCCAACCCCGGGACCGCCCGCGCAGCGCATGAAGCGGGAAGCGCAGGCGGCCATCGATGCGGCGGTGGAGGACCGGATAATATCTGCGCTCCTGGGCGAGAATGTGACGCAGGAGACGCGCAGCTCCTTCCGCGAGCTCTACAGGTGCTCCGGGCTGCTGTCGGGGTTGTGTGCTGGGCTGCCGCCTAAGGGTGGTTGGCAGGGCGGGAACAACGTGTTTGTATTGGCAGGGAAACTCCCCTGTGGGCTGGCACCTGGCCCAGAGGGACGCTCCGCTCTGCAGCTCGTGCCTTATTTGGCCCTGCCTGGCCCACATGTTCTCCCTCCTCCACCCTCGTGAACACCCCCCCCCCCCCCCCCCCTTTTTCTCGCCCATGCAGAGG